ACGACGAAAGACTTTACCTGAAATTCTTGTATGATAATGAAATGAGAATATAGTGGACTCTAACTATATTGCTACTAAACATATTGCCACGCAAGGTACTTCCCTTTCACACGTACTTTCGAGCACACAAATTCGCTCTCCCACCACGTTGCGTATGCAGGCGCACCAGCACGATCTAGCTTTTGCGCAGGCGCTGAGGCCGAAGCTATGACGATAGAACTTAACATGGAAGGGGCTCTGAACTCATTGCCAAGACATGCCATTTTACTCCGCTTCAGCCCCGACCATGGCAATATAGTTAGAGTCCACTGTACCTTCGTAGCAGGTTAACACAAGATGATCGTTTTTTATTTCTGTTACAGAGAACACCGATGCGCCCAATGATCGCGGAATACGACCCAAAGAAGCACGGTGTGAAAACAGAACTCTCAGACATGGTTCTTGTCAAGTAAGTGCCAAACATGGTTTAACGAAACCGACGCGAACAGAACGGTTCAACGATAGTCGAGCAATTCACAATCTGCTACCACGACCAATCATCACCATTGCTTTCTTGCCAAACTCAAATGCTCCGTGCTCAAGCAAACGTGAGTGACAACCCCGAGGATCATATATATTGTGCATTCTATCGTATACATGTGTATTCTCTCATTCTCTATGCTCTGTTACTATCTATTACACATATATATACATATACATACACACACACACACACACACACACACACACACACATATATATATATATACATACACACACACACACACACACACACACACACACACATATATATATATATATATGTGAACAAATTTTGTTTTTTTTTTCTCATATTAAATTACAATCGTTACTGTCACAACTAATCACATCACGCATACCGCCTGACCGCTGACGTAGAACTCGTAGCGTAGCTGGCACTAGGGATGCTTGACGATTGACCGCTGAATCCTGACGATTCTATTGCTAGTTTGTGCAGAGATGTGCTTCCATTTTATTTACCGTGTGTAATGCGCACTTAAACCCGTTTTTTTTCTTGTTTTTTATTTCCTGAGAACTTGTGCTCCCCGTTGTTCCCATGTAATCCGTTCTATCGCCATAATCAAGAATTGTTCGTTTTGTGTGTCACATGCATTTGCGATCTGTAGATAGGCTATAGAACTGTTATCTTGATGTTTGTAGTACCACAAATGACAGTTTTAGTACTCCAAACATCAGTCTTTGTGATAATACGATCATATTGTCATGTATCAGTCGGCAGATTCATTTATAAGCAAGGTTCTTCTCATTGGAAGAAAAGAAGTTCAAAATTTTAGAAGCTGTGTGGTTTAGCGAAAGCGATGACAGTTGTTCGTGTGTTAGGTTCTATTGTATTTCTAGCAAATATTTGTACAGTGTGTGCCATTTATTTTGATCCTTGCAAAAAATTCTTACTTATTATCTTACTTACTTTTCAATGGAATTTGGAGAAACAGTAGTAACAATTGTTGTTAACATTATGATCCCAAAAACTTTTTAAATTTGTTTAAAAATTTTTTTGTTCTGTTTTGAGAATAATATTATGCTTCCAATGAATTGGAATTTTCTGTACCACTTTTTTTTAAACACTTCAATCTTATTATGTGGTTTATACAGTAGTGGACACTAGAACACGAACTCTCAGTTTATTTTAACATAGATCGTTTGTGAGCTTGAAATAATCAGTTTGATATTTGCTAAAATTTTTAACGAGGACTCTACGCTTCTAGAATGTTGAATTATTTTATTTCGATTGAAATTAGTGAACTGCAATTATTTTATGGTCGGTTCAGTTTTAAGTATCAATGTAATAACACGTGTCCAACATCGTGTAGAAACAGAACAAACACGTAATACTCGTGCGGAATATTGTTTACGTAATTGTTTCGCTGCAATAATTGAAGAAAGAGAAACAAAACCGGTCATATGTATAGGGTGTTTCACTTATTGCGATCACCTCGTGGACATTTAACATGTTTTCGATTGTAGATAAATTGGAATGCGCAAAGTCTAATGCAGATAAGTAGCAGTTTTGTTGACAGAGCCCGTTGTTTCATTGTCCAATCATTTGAATACGCCAAAATAAATATACTTTGAAAATTAATAAAAATATTTCATATTGACATTTTGATAGCCGCTGTCGTCTACGTGTGATCATACTCGTTCAGTTGCTAATTCACACGGCAGCTAACACTTTTCTACCCAGAAAATTATGTATTTTTTGCGACATCGCATTGAATTGTCATTGATTTCGTAAAAAAAGACATTCAAAAAAATACCATTCCCATTAATTCCATAATTATTATTAGGTTGGCGTAGAAGGTTTGACGATTTTATACGAAGCTTTACTTTAAACAAAGTTGCTTGGTTGCTGTATGTCGTTTTAATTTTCGTTTGTTATTTCAATTTTGACTTAATATTCTCGTTTTAGTACTCACAATGTAGTGTTAAAGCTTTCGTTTCACTAATTTATTTAATTTTTAAATTCTGATTCCGATAGGTCGAACACAGCAGCGACATTCAAATTTCAGTTCAGCTTTGATTCAACTTTAGGACGTTTGTTTAATTAGTTCGAATTTTACATTAATAGTCGTAGAGTATCTGCCGTTAATTACTTTTCTGAAAATTAAACTGTACAACTTTGCAAGCAAACAAACCTTTTACGCCGACCTAATGCTAATAATGTTGCCAAAATGTATAAATAGACTATAAGTTTGCGTGCTTTAACGTAGTAAGAACAAGTTCAGTATCTCCAACAAATTGGCACTCTTGTAAAGATCTCCATAGGTGGCCAACAAATTTCGTACAAAATATGCGACTGTCAACGTGTCAACAACCACAATTTACTTTAAAAAAGCATTTCCGCAGTATTATATCAAATAATACATCAGTCCCTCTCGCGAATGTAATGGCCACGGCCTTCAAACTGGTATTTTGGTCTTGCTTATTTTGGCGGGAAATTCAAGTTTGGCCAGGAAAGAAAGGAAATGTTACAAAACTCAATAAAGACTGAATTTTATTAATACTAATAAAGATTAAAACTCAAAACGATCCTTACTATATTGCACACACTATATCAACAGAACAATTACGATCGAGCTCTAGCAGTAGAACAAACATATCGTCTCGTAAGCGGTCTCGTAACCAGACCCAATTATTATTTAAAAGCTAGTAAGACAGAGACAAATACGGTACACTATTCGGCGAGTGTCTCCGCACGATCGAACGTATAGAGTAGTAGAGCAAGTGGAGAGGCAAAGTGACAAATGAGAGGATACAATATACGTGAAACATGCACTGAAAAAAAAAGCTGATATCCCCGCACAAATGAGCGATTCTCTCGATAGTCGGTTTAGCGGCAACAGAACACGAAATCTTTGGATCCTGTGCGCATGAAGACGGGAGTCCCCCTTGCTGCACCTATCGATAGCGGATCTTGAGCAATTTTCGCCGCTTAAATTGACCGTCGCGTTCTGTCGGTAATTATCTGTACGGTTATCTTCTTTACCGACGTAGCGCTCCGTTACGCAACGTTCCAGTTTTCTGCATTCGAACGATCAATCAAGAAATTGAACGCGCCTAATCGCACCGATAACGAGATATCGCGCAATACCGAGGACAATTCAGGTAATTTTCGAATTCTTGGTGCTTTGTTAGACGTCGTTGAACGAAATGTTAAGGCTCTCGCGAATTTAATTGGTTACGCGAAGCTCAATCTTCCGCGACGAATATCGAGCCGCGACCGAGACACCTGTTGGATAACACGGCTGCTTACGTCGGGTGGTAATTGTTCGATAATTTCGTGCTGGACGTTATTTGTCGGCAAGGTTAAATTCCGTTCCCGAGGAAATTGGAATACGTTCTTGAAACGAATGAAATATTAAGGAAGTTTTGATATTAACAATAAATGTTACTGGTGGTTGAAACGGAGTTTAAAAAATTTTTTTTTAATAAACAGGATGGAGTATAATATATTAGACAGTTTAGTAGGGTAGACTCTAGTAGGGTAGAGAAAAATAATAATACATGCGATAATACGTTAAATACATATAGAGATAAAAGGATAGATGGAAAAGGTATCCAATTAAGAAAGGTTGTATATATAGGTAATCCAATAAATAAGGATGATATATTAAGGGGATAATGAAAAGGTGCAGGAAGAGGGAGTCCCTCGCGGTTTCTTCGTCATTGGTTGAAGATGCTTCGTAACTCTGAGGCCATGCGGTGTGCGAGCAGACTCTATTCCTATGAAGGATTTAAAGATGACAATTGTCTTTACTATATAATATGTGCATTTATATGATTCCAGAGATGCGTATAAACTGCGGGCATAGATTCGGGCTCTATGAAAAGTGCTCTGCGAATAACGTGAAAGTGACGAATCAAAAAAACAAATAACAAACGAAAATAAAAAAAAAACAAATACGGTACCGTTCAGAAAGAGAACGGGGCACGATCTCTGACGAACGATCGCGGGTTTAAAAGAAATAAAAAAGAAAAAACGGTCCGAGACGCATTTCACTCGACCGACGCGTATATCGCATAGGCACTGTTTCGACGAGCGAACGGATGATAAAAGTTTTCGAAACGTTGGGGAAAAAAAAAAGACAAATCCATAACAATCGCGAGAAAAATTTTCGTGACAGAACCACCCAGACGAACCGTGACGTGAAGTTTGTACACCGACGAAACATTCTTGAAACAATACGAAAAGAAAAGAAAACGATATCCTTCTCATTGGACGTTCGTACGAAATCAAAAAGAAAAAAAAAAACTGTATTCAAAAAGCGAACAATTCAAATGAAACCCCCGATTGGCGTATCCCCGTAGATCGTTTGACGTGCGTGTTAGACCGAAAAGAATATAAATAAAATAAATAAATAAATAAATAAATAAAATAACCGAAACACGTTCGGCGGGGACAGTGCAAAATGTCTGAAATGAATGAAGGCTTGTTAGTCGTCGTACTGCGTCGTGGCGCTGACCGTCGCGGTGATGCAGTGCGGTGGTTGCAGCTGCCTCTAAGCCTGATCGCGGCGCGTGAACTATTGTCACGTGTCACGTGACACACACAGACTCTATTCCGGAGCTTTCTCGACAGAAAGCTTCGCACGACTAAGGAGAGAACTACCGCACCTAAATGGGTACCTATATGCCTACACACCTAACTTTTTAACGATTTTATTACACCATCGAACGCGCTACGTTGCCCTCCCTACCCACCGACCAATTAGCTCCCCTCTTCAAACACACACACACACACACATACACAGAGAGATATAGAAATATGTATACACGAAAAACATACACACACGGACAGGATAAAATAGGATCGAGATAGGAAAAGCAAGACCTCAAACGTTCGACTGTCCATCCACTGATAGGGGTTCACTCAGTTTTCGAGGAGTCGTGTTTTATATCGCGTTCGTGGGA